GACTGGTTTTCACTATTTGTAATGCTCTAAAGTAGAGACTTTTGTTCTCTGGGCAAGTTTACCTGTGTCTAAAAAGAGCAACGTCTTACTTCCTATGGTTGCTGATCTATACCCTGTGTTAGGGCCACATCTTGGCTGAGGTCAATTGGCATTCCAATTGTTGTTGGCTTTAGTGAAACTATGCAGGTTTACAGCAGCTAAGCACTTAATCAGGCGGCTCAGCACTACCTGAAAGTATCAAGAATTAAACTTAGGGAACTTACACTAAAGTCTTGTAAGATGGAAAAAAAAAAAAAAAAAAAGTGATTTTCCAGAGAATTTTGCTGAAATCTGCTATGCTTCTTCTTTATCCATGTTGCAGTGTTCCTCCCCTACATCATCGTTTTATTTTCAGCTCAGCAATTCTCTTTTCTTTGAGCGATGAAACACTGTCTGCTTTTCAAGACTAATATACGGCCCTTGAGTGAAGGCAAGGCTGTGATTCAAATCAAGAGTTCTGTTGACACTATAATCCGCAGGAGCACAGCTGGAGCATTTCATGAACAGTAGAAAGACCCTCAATTGATTTACTGCCTTGGTATTCAATCAGGAGTCCATGTTCTGTGTCTTAGCTGCACCACACAAAAAATAACTCAGTGAAATTCTAATTACAGCATATAGCTACTTGCTAACTTGTAAGAGAAGATTTGTTCTATATATGAGATGCTGCTGCTTTTATGAATTCTCCCCTATTTTTATAGCAGGAGAGCCTCAGGTTCTTTGGGCCATAAATGGGACATGCACAAAAGTTGCTTCCCGGCCATTCCAAGCAGAAGGCTGAGCAGTTGATGGCAGGAACTTTCATGCCTCTTCCTCAGCCTCTGCACCTTTTCTTTGTATTCCAGTCTTTATGACTTTGCCTATCCATAACTATCCCCCAGGCACAGAGAAATCATTCCTGCTCCCATAAGATCCTGCAAAGGAGATCCACATCTCCAGTTTTCGCTGTGCTGGTCCCCAATCACAGCACGCACGAGAGCAATTTCCAAGTCGTGCTCTTTCTTGGCTCCCCCCTCATTCCCAGTGAGGGAAGCACACGCTGCCAGCCCTGAAAACCTGAAGATGAGAGTTCCCTAGATTGTTTCCAGCTTGCAGTGTGAGCCCCACTGAATGAATAGCACTTCCAGTATTTTGGGGGTGGTGACTCACAAGAAAGTTATGAACACCCCCCTAGGAGGCTGTCTGAAGCCCCTGGTAAGAAGTATTCTGATTTTCCTGTTCTCATTGTCCGGGCTGCCTGCAGATATTTGCACACATCTTGAACACAGTTTTCTCAACTCATTGTCCAAGGAGCAAACTGTACCCTAAGAGGCAATAGAACATTCCTAGTTTGTTTTGTTTTTTAATCACCCCTATAGAAATGGTTGGAACATACAGCTATTCACCACTGCAGGTATCAAAGTGCCACCAAGAGCTAAAGCAAGTGATGCTCCTGAATACCTTTCACTTATGTAACTCCCTATTAATTTCAGTGATAACTCCGGCAGCTGAACTCCCTACTCCCTGGAAACTCTAGGGAGTATTTCTTGGCAGACCCAGTATCAAGTATTCAGTCTTATTTTTCAGTGCACTTCAGAAACTTTATAGATGCTCTCAAAAAAACCATGAAGTAGCCAGAGGTTGTGCCTCCAAGTGATGTGAATTTTAATTACTTGGTAAAAAAAAAAAAAAAAAAAAAAAATCAGACAAAAACAGGCATTGAAGAAAGATCTGAAATTAAGAACTCCTGGGCTCAAAAAAGCCACAAGATCTGAGTTGTAGGTGTTATATTTGGAGAGAAAGACAGCTGTGAAGAGGAAAAACAGCATATGTGCATTTGTTTGTCTTAACGCAAAGCAGGAGACACAGTGCATTAATAGAAAAGGGCTCTTCCTTCTCTCTTTTTCCAACTCTGATGTTTGTTCTTTGGGTGCTCTCCTAATGGTTCAAACCCCAGTGACATCTGTCTCCTTCTCTGCCTGAGCTGGAGCTGCAGCATCTCAGAGCTCTGCCACAGTGAAAGATCTGCACTGATGTCTGGTTGTACATCCAGACTCCAGGACACAGACCCTACTGGTAACACTTCGTAGGGCCCCATCACCCTTTTATTTGGTCTACAGTGTTAAGGATTTTCAGCTACACTATCAGTGTTCTGACTTGTAACCCTACAGAGCTAACATTGCATGAGGAAGAGCAGTTGTAGTATCTCACTTTGAGACAAAAATCTTCCTAATCTGCATATGGTTTGAATAATACTGTGAGGATAAAGCAGCCATGAAATAGGTCTATTACTACTGCTTTTAATAGTGCTCCTGTCAAGAAATAAAGTAGTCCTTCATAGTGTTTTTTCCCCTGGAGATCCAATTCTAGCAGTGAAAATGAGTGTGTGGGGGGGAAAAAAACACCAAAAAACCAAAACAGTGATTCAACCAGTGCAGGATCTGACATTAGAAAAATAATGTCACGTAAAATAATGAGAGCGTAAGGTTTATGACTGCTTATTTGGTGGGGCTGGGGTTATCCAATGGGAGAAATACTACCAAAGTCCAGTGAGATATGGTTACCAGGCAGGAATCCCAGGAGATTCTGTTACCATGCAGGAATCCCATGAGACAGTATTATCAAGCAGGAATCTGTAGTATTCAGTTCACCACAAGGCAGTAATATTAGATTTTTAGAATTAAATCCAGCAGTATCTTGTTTTATAAGAGTTGGCACATAAGGAATAGAGAAAAATGCAATGGAAGAAAGATGTCTCCCTGGAATCTGAACTGGAAGCCCCAGTCATTATACCGATTCCTAGAAATAAAGCATCACAGATTCTTATGATCATGAGATATCTTGACTAAACATGACATCAATCACTTATTAGATGAAAAGATCGGTTAAACTATTTTTACAAGTACAGATTTGCTCACTGAAGTGCTGAGGCACGAATGCTATTGTGACTAAATTTTTTGGGTTTTTTTTGGTGTAATCTTTTGATTTTCTGATTTATAATGGAGTTTGCTGATACCACAAGAGGTACTACTTTATACATGTGTAACAGAAGAAAACAAAATGCATTTTCTTCATTATCTTTTTTGTAGTAACTGTATCACTGGAGGATTTGGCAAGATATGACAAGACACTGATTCCAGAAGACATAGTTTAATCTCAGCCCCACTATAGAGATTGGCCACTACACTTGCAAGCCTGAGAGCCATTTGCCAGAGATGGAGAAAAGCTGAGAAACTACCTAGCAACCCAAAGGAAGAAACAAAGGCTCCTATTCCCATTTGGTCACAACAGATTATTCTGAATGCTCATCTTTTAATTGCAACATTTTCCTACCTCTATCACAATACAGCTTTATCAGTGTTTAGTCCAGTATATACTCTGATCAAGCACAAAAACCCCTCAACAGTCAGAAATCTACCACAGCAGCTCAACTCTCCCACATTTATCAGAGTGAAGGGGAAGGCAAGAAAACCAAGGACTTTAGGTGAGAAGTGAGATAGGAGAAATGGAAAACCATTGGGAAAAAAAGCAAACAAACAAAGCCACAACACACACTGATAAACTATGCTAGGAAACTTACAGGATAAACCACTGGGGTGCCCAGCAGAGGCACAAGGTTCAAGACTGCATGCAAGAGAACACAGAGACCCTGCAGATGCTATTGCTACTTGGGTACAGCCCTCAGTGAGACACAGCCTCCGAAGTCATGTCTTTCTGGACAAACTGGCAGCAGAGGTGTCACCCATGGGACAGAGCCAGGTATTCCCATTGCTTTTCAAAGCTGCGGAAGGACTTGTCTCTGGTATTTAGATGTGATTACAGCCGAAGAGAAAGAAAAGGAGGTGACAGGAAGGAATATAAAACTCAAGAGGCATTAGCCTGTTTGCTGTGTTTGAGAAGACATTTGCTTGAGTGCTTGTGAACAAGAAAGTAGGCACAGCTGAATAGCAGGCTTAAGGAAAGTCAGTTTAGCTTCAGAAGAGGATGTACGTACACTGATCAGATCTTAACCCTAAAAGACATAACCAAACAATTGTGCGAACATGGAAGACTTCTGAATGTGCTAAGTGGACCATCAGAAAACATAACACCTGTAGCAGGGATATTGGTGACACAGAGGTACTGGAAAGATTTCAGAGAAAGATTACTGATAATGTCAGATGGAAAGGTTCCCAAACCTACACAGAGAGATGCAAATCACAACCACAGTGCTTTTGTGATAAAGATTTCATCTCGGCAGGTAATGGCATGGGACCATTAGCTTACAGACCGTAGCTAACCCAGCAGCTCTCAGGTGCTAATGGCTTGCAGCACTGGTAACAGTCTTGGGGCAGCTACATCCCTGAGGTCTCCCTTCTATACATCTCTCTACGCACTCCTTTTGCTCACATCATGACACTTATCTCCACTCAGGAGACTAGGAAAATGCATTTTAAAGCAAACACCATTTGGGAAAAATACCCTGCTTTGGCATTCATTTGTTGTGAACAATGACGAGTTTCACATGAAAATTGTTAAATGACCACTTGGAAGGATTCAAAACGTTCATATGTTCTATGCCAACAGGACAAGCTAAAAGCCAATGGCTGATCTCACAGGTCTGAAGATGTCAGAGAAATCTCCAGTCTGTAGAAACCACTGACGTTTCACAAAGTTGGTTTCCTCCTGTTTAGTTAAATGCCTTTGTGTTAACACAACATGCTTCTAAAAGTTTTGTCTTGTATTGCAAAGCAATCACTCATCTTTTCACTTGCTCTCACAGTCTTTCAGAAATACATGCTGCTTTATCAGTCACCCCATCAGCATCTCCTTTACTAACAAATGAGCACACAATATAGACTTTCAAAAATTTGGCTGCAGAGCTACTCATTTTAGTGACAGGGAAATGTTTATTGCAGCATGACTTGCTGAAATCAGGTGGAGTCACAAAGCAGCCCATGCAACAAGTTTTAAGATTGAGACTTAGAGCAGAAATCTGGTCATGAATTTGGTTTGGGATTTATTGCTCAGCAACTTGCAGCACAGCTCATCAACAGCTGGCTCTCTAGCCAAAACATACTGGCAAACAGAGAAAAATTGTCATAGTAACAGCATTACAGTGCATACTGCAATGGCACTCCAGCCTGCTAAGGGAATTCCTAAGTGGTACCATAGTAAAAATTATGACTAATAATAACCAGTAGTAGTAACTATTGCTGCTACTAATAATAGCAAAAATTATATTTATAGTATAACAACAGCTAGATATATTTGGCTAGTATTTGGTGATTCCAAACTGAAGTTAAACACGTCTGGCCTGCTTCTTACAAGCCCTCTGCTGAGGAATCGCAGACCCTCCAGCAGTACTGAGTTAATCCATGAGCAAAGGCGTTGCTTCAGTTCCTCTTTATATCTAATGGAACTACTTTTCCTTTATCTGTAGCCATCACAGAAGCTTGAATAACATATAATCATGTGTATCTTTGTCATAAATGCATGTGGATTTGGCCAAAGCTAAAACAACAAGAGGCCAACTCACCAGAACATGAAGCAAAATTTGTCAATTTCAGGCAATTCCTTTCCCAAGCCTCCATGCACCTCCTATTTAGCCACTTTATCCTGGATTGGCTCCTCTTTCCTGTTGTGCTTTCAGACCATTCTATGAACCACAAAAACTTTGAGAAGTTTTTCTCTTTTGTGGGAACTTCTCATTGCCCTATCCCAATTCCCACTGTGACAAAAGAGGTAAAGTGCCCTCTAAAGGAACAGTACTATGGCAAGGCACTATGCACAAACTACTGCAGCGCCAGAAGGGAAAAATTCTCTAAAACACGTTGTCATCATCATCAAATCTTGTTCCTACAAATTTGGGGGCTCACTCTGCAGCCTGTGTTCACACTGACATGAAGGCTCTACAACGCATGAGAATTGCTTGCAGGCCATCCTTCAGGCTTGGTAAAAAAAAATAACAGCAACTTGCTACTGTTAACTAGTAAAGTATAACATCATACAATATTTGTTGATGAGTTATGCATTTGCATCAAAACTGCTAAAGAAGGAAGCCTAGGAGTAGCTTCCTTTGCTTTTTCCATAATTTTCCTGTTGCAGAGTAAGCAAATTTCCTTCACAAAAGGGAGAAAACAAGAAACAGCTTGAACCATGTAAAAGCTTAACACAGAAGAACACTTACCAGCTTGATTCTTCTCACTACATCCCCTTGCCTTTGCAGTGGCCCCAGATAAATCCCTTCCTCAGCCAACACAAGGAAGAGATGAAAAATTTTAGATGACAAGAGGAAATCTGACTGCAGGTGTAATATATCTGCTAATTGCAACACATTCACTACAGGTGATACTGCTTACCTCTTCAATGAGTGATAGCAAGACCTGCCAGTATCACCAAATAACGTTCTCATTAAACCATTTTGGTTGTGGGCCAGTGAGGGTGGGGGAGATAAAGGATTTCCAGTCATACAAACAGGGTAGCTCTGAGGTCTCCTTGGCTCTTACTCCTTCTGATACCTTTGTCTTTAGATTACGTGATTTTGCATAGGGTCACAGATTGGCACACCCTAAAAAAGGTTTCTGAGAGTGGTTTGATCTACCTACTTTACATAGGATAGTCAGTACCAAAAACTTCTGTCTTTTCTGGACTCTCCTCATGAATAAAAGCCACATGATTTATCTCACGTATCTCATCCTTCCAAGAGTGGCTCTTCTGTGACATGCTGCTCCAGTCCCTATATGCCATCTTGTAGCATCTTGACCAGTTTCAGCTCTCCTCTTTCCGTGGCCACACTTCTTTGATTGAAGACAACATAGCATTTCCTCTTCTCTTCTCAAAACCACCATATAAACAGATATCATTCACCCAGGCTGCTGCTTTGCCAGCACTGGCCAAAAAGACAAAAGGAAAAAGACCTGATTGCAGTAATTTGAAATTACAGCTTCAAAAGCTATCGATCACTAGCAGCTACCCGAGCAAGTCAGCCAGCAGCTTATTGTGTTTGCTGTTTGTCCTCCTTGTGGTTTGATTGTAATTGAAGTCCTCAACAAATTTCTGTCAGAAAAAATAATAATTTTAGTGATGATAAGTATTGTTGTTATACATTGTAGTTGTTGTACTTTGTCTAACAACTCACGTGCACACCCTTCATTCTCATTAAGGCCAATAATAATGTACATGGAGAGTTAAATCAACATAATCATTCTGAATGGGTGTGCACTGGACACAGTGTTGTAGGCAATAGGAATTACATTTTGCAGTAAAGAGTATTTCATCTTCATTAAGTTCCTTTGTTTTCCAATGCAATAAACGGTCACATGGGCTCCAGTGCTTTTTATTTTTCTGAGTTTCTGCATTTGAACTTCAAGTGATGAGTAGCTTCCCTGTATGCTGGCCCGACGATGGAGTGAAACATAGATTTGCTAGTTAAAAAGTGAAAGAAGAGGGGAGAAAATCCCAGATTGACTTTGAAAGGCCTGTTTTAAATGACAGAATTGTTTTTCATCAAATACTTTTACACAAATTTGGTTTTTATCCTATGAAAGCAAATGAATATTGTGAAAACTCTAGATCATTCTGTATGTCATTTGAGAACTAGGAAATGTCATTAATATAGCCAGAAACATATGTTATTCCTGCTTTCCAGTGTTTCACAGTTCCACAGAAAGGCTGAATTTTGTGGATGTACACCAAAAGCCCGAAATGGGGCTTTTGATTTTCCTGGTTCTTTACATACTAAGTAAATTGTGTGCAGCCTGTCCCGTGTGGGTCAACTGGAGCTCTGCTGCGTTCCTTTTGTGGTGGAGGGTGTGCTTCAGTGGTTATTATAAGACTGTAAGACTTTGGGGTTCGCAGGGCTTTTTCTGGACATGTCTCTAACTGAGTGGAATATTTTGTGACTGTATATAGCATGTGGCAAATAGCATAGCAGTGACTGCACGGCACTGTCTGAATTCCCTGGGCAGGGAGTTTTCATAATGTATCATTCTCATCCTTCTGTTCTGATTCCAACAACTCACATGCACATCCTTCATTCCCGTTAAGTCCAATAGTAACATACACAGAAATTTAAATCAACATAATCATTCTGAATGGGCGTGCACTGAACATAATCTCAGTATCTCTAGTAGGGACCAGACTGTCCGTAGGCTCCTTTTCTTTTATTTTTTTCCCAACATCTCAGGCAATTACATGGAAATGACTGAGACTAAATTTCAGTCGGTGTTTTTCATGCATTAGCTCACCCAGTATTGCAACTGGATCACAATAAAGTCAAAATGAGATAACTGTGGGACTTGTTTTGCTTGCATGTGACAGCTAGCAGTTTTTAGATGACCACAGTATTACACTCAGTGTTTGCAGGATATATGTATTTGGGAAGGAGACTTGACTTGGCTCTAAGCTTCTTCCAATCCTTCCATGAAGGGAATCATAGAATCATAGAATGGTTTGGGTTGGAAGGGACTTCTAAGATCATCTAGCCCACCCCCCTGCTATAGGCAGGGATATCTCGGTCTAGACCAGATTGTTCACAGCCCCATCCAGCCAGGCCTTGAATGCTTTCAGGGTGGAGGCATCCACAGCCCCTCTGGGCAACCTGTTCAGTGTCTCAATCAAAGGTTACTGCTGTGAAATGATCAATATCAAAGTCTGCGTGTAACTCATTCTACACTTTAAAATAAAAAAGTACAACATACTAAATAGGGCAAGTTTCTAAGCTAATTGCTTGGAGATCTGTTCCCCACTAAGTGCATAAGAAGCTTACATTCTCTTTTTCCAAACATAAGTATATTTTAAAATAGAAGAAAAATTGTAAGCTCATATCATAAAACTTCATAAACTCATACCATAATAATCATAAATTCATTGCTGAGGGCTAAGGAGATGGTGCAGCTTCACCAAACTTGACTTTGAGTCCAGTTCTGTTCCTTCCTTCACCTACAGGAACAAAAGTTGACTCTGTGAGACACATGCTCTTAGAGCAGCCCTATCCCACTAGGAACCATTCGAAAGAAGGTAAGTAGTCACTCTCTTTCATTTGCTTGTGGAGTTTTTTATTTTGGTTGCTTTGTTGGTTGGTGGGGTTTTTTTTTGCTTGTTTGTTGTTTTTGTTTTTTAAAATGAGTATCTGTTAGTTTCTGTAATGCTGATGTTACTGTAGCTCTTGTGAGAAAGATGAAATGAAGTGAGAAGACAGACAGGAGACAGAGGTAAAATTAAAATGATCCACTAGTATGAAGTTGCTCTCAGCCTTGAAGGACAAACAGGAATTAAACGATTAAGTCAAAATTCATCCAATGTACTATGTCATCTCTGCAGGTTTCTTGATGTCAAATGGATCTTTCTGGGCAAGGATTGTGCACCAACACTTAGTATGTGCACCAACGTCTTGTATGATCCAAACTGAGAGTGAGAACTGGCTCCCATTGTGATTTATAAGGACTGCTATTAAGCAGCGTAAAGAGAGTGTATCACTATGACTGACACATCTGTTGACAGGTAACCTATTCTACAAGTTTCATGCTTTTTAGCTGTATATCTGTCTTCTTAGCCAACTTTCTTTCCAAATGCCTTGAGGAGAAAGAAGTTACATATTACATTATTATAATTGCTGCCACTGTCTTCATGCAACACAGAATTTGGTGGGTAACCTCAAGGCTGGTTGGTCTTCATATTGTAGGGCCGTTATCTGTGTATTTTATATTGACGTTTCCCTTTCAAACTCTTACCCAGTAAATAAAACTGTTGTTTTTATTTGTCCTGTGCCTCCAGCCTGCGTTTTCAGGGAGTTAGGTAGTGCTTAACTGGATAATTTCAGTAAGCTGTTAAACTACTTTCTCTTGACTGTTCTCAGAGTCTTCTGCCTGTCAGTGTGCAAAGCAAAATTTTAGTCATGACCAGTGTTGGTCATTAGGAAGGAGGAGTATTTACGGGAGTTTCAGAACATCTGTGTTTCAGCCCTGCCCCCCCACAGCCCTTAAGGGAGCACAGTCTGGAGCTCAATCAAACCAAAGGAGCCCAGCTGCAAGCTGTACTGTCCTCAAGTGCCAAGTTAATGTCATGGGTTCTTTACAGTGTGCCATGTCAGGAAAGCCACTTGCTTAGACCAGCCTTTCAGAACCTCTACCACAGCAGTTCAACAGCCCAGACAGACCACACAGATCTTACACAACCTCTGTGATCTATTTCCCCTCTGCCACCCCAGATGTAGGTGAAGGCATCTGATCTGGTGCAACAGAGAGCAATGGGATGGAAAGGAGGGCGGTAAAACTAAGCTCACAGAGGTATTTTGAGGGTATGGCCACCCACCTTAGAGAGAACTCAGATCTTGCAGTGATGAACACCGTGAAAAATCCAGGAATAAATAAGGAAAAGAGACATCCATTTGTTTCATGGTTGTGATGCTAAAGGTCAACTGGAAAAGTTACTCTCCTACATGCTCAGAGAGGTTATGGATTGTACAGCTATGTCCATATATGTTCTGACAGATTTTAAGTGTTGCTTTGCTGGGAAGTTTTAAAATTCAGCAATACACGTCATTTGCTTACAACAGCCAGTTTTCTTCACATCAGCCACCGGTAGAAAATGATTCATACAAAAGAGGCCACATGTTGAACAGATTTGTGTAAGCCAGTTATGCTACACTCAAAGTCAGCTAAAACATTCTCACACAAAAAGTTAACTTAAGCTACTATTTCCCACAATAATAACAATAAAAATAAGCTTAACAAACATTTACCCTGCTTCTCAAAACTCATTTTCTGTTATGTTTCCTTTTACCAGTTTTGTTTGGCAGAATACCATGTAATGGATCAGCAAGAGTACGTGTGCCATAATCTGACAGAAGGAAAAAAATGTATATTTTTAGTTTGAAAATGTTTATAGTTTCAATAGGTAGAAAGGATACAGGACAAGGAAGGATAAAATAGCACATGCAGAAATGTCAGCAGTCAATATAAGCCTAGGAGTTTTAGAATGAGAATGATCCTGGCTGAGAACTAAGTTATCAACAAAAGACATACACTGGTAGCAAGAGCCCTCTGAACATATTTCTTCACCTTGGTTCTTGGATTTCCCCGCTAAACTTAGGCTCGAATTTCAAGAAGCTAGAATCAGTGGGCTGTGAGTCTATTGCAAGACCCCAGGACATTACTGCCCCCAAGAAAGATGTGTTTGGCTGATAGCTTTCTAGGACATTTCTATTGTCCCATCCCACTGAGTCCTGCTCCTCAAGAATAAAAACTCCAGTCGTATACTCCCTCTCTATTAATGAAACATTGAACTCACCCTTTGATATTCTTGATCTGAGAAAGATGGTATCTCTGAAGAGTCTTCAGGTCTTCCATGTTCTCCATTCATCCTACTGCCCTACAGAAAAGCAGCACCTCCAGTTTCAAGAGCTGACACTAATCACAACATCAGAGAGAAATCCTACTTAGGCTGTTACAAATTCCTCCCTTAACTAGCTCTCATGCTATCACACCGCAAAGCTCGTTTTCACACCATTTATATTTGACTCATTCAAGTAAGCAGTGGCATTATAAAGGCAATTGCAGAGAAAATCAACCAGGTAAGAGACAATCTTCAGCCCTGTGGTAAAAGTTTGTGTGTTATTTAGTTATCTTTTATCATGAATGCTACTTCCACAAAAGACATTTATTTATGTAATCGTATCAGCTGGTCCTGAGGATGGAGAAGGGAGTAGAACAGAGAAAGAGAAACAAGGGAGAGAATAAGGAACAACAAGAACTGTGTGTGTGGCAGTGTGGCAAAAAGAGCTGCTATCAGTATAAAAGCTAAGAGAGAGAGAAAAAAAAAAACAACTGCTGGAAAGACGGCATGATAGTGATAGTAAGATTGGGAGTTTGGGCTTTGAGGAATGCATGGTTAAAGAAAGTCATGGGGCAAAACTGCAGCCTGCAGAAACACGGTGAGAAGCAGAGGGTATCATGGATTGCTCAGATGTTTCTTCACCTGAGATCTATTACTGTGTCAGTCAGTGGCAGAGACCAGCTGGACAAAGAATTGGCCTGCGGTGACCATAGCAGATCAGTCGGCTAAAAACAGAGCTGGGTCTCCCATGTGGTTGCTGTCACCACATTGTCACCCCACACCTCAGAAACGGCAATGCAGAAACAGTAATCTTACTTCCCAAAATTAATAAAGCAAATGAATCAAGCATGAAAGCTGAAGAAAAATAAAAACTTCTAAGACATTGAATATAATTCATAGCAAGTCAAATGTTTGTGACTTGATTCTCTCTTTGGTGCCCAAACCCACAGCAGTGTGTGCATGTGAGCAGCACAGTCACAAGCTGGAAACATGAACTGTAGCATCTGAGCCACTGAAGGCATACAGGAGCCACACAGATGGATGCAGTCCTCTCTGATCTCCACTTTATACAGGAATACTACTGCTCAAGTTCAGTAGCAGCAGAGGGAGTAGCTGTGGAAAAAGTCCATTCGCATTACAAGCAAAGTGACACCCAGTCATCAGCTGAAGCAGTGCAAGTACACAGGAGAGAGGTTATTAGTGCCTTTGTTATCTGCCCAGCATCGCAGCTGCTTGCTGTTATACTCCACTGCCCTTTTCCAATACATAACGCTACAACATCACCCAAGATAATAAGGTTTTGATCACAGCAAGACGCTCACAACAGCAAACAGTCCAGGCACACAGAGATCAAATAGACCAGCTGCAAACAGAAAAAAAAATAAAAGGAGTGCATATGACTCGCTGGCGTGTGTGGGTATGCATGCTATGCGGGCAGCAGAGGCCGGGATGCGAAGGTCTCCCAGCGACCCCGGCCCTTTGGGCTCATGCCCCAGCACTGCGCCGCATTCCAGCCTCTCCCGGCCTGCTGCCCTGCTTGCACAGAGGGGCAGCCAGACGTGAATGTGAGAAAGCTCTCTCAGGCGATTCCCTTCTGCAGGTTGCTGGGGAGTTGTCTCCCAAAATCATCAGAATTAAAAGGGGTATGTGCAAAAAGGGAGCTGGGATACGGGCTTGCATTTTATTATTATTATTTATTATTTTTTTTTACCATGTCTTGGTAGCATGCAAACATGGTGAAAATGCTTTTTTCTTGACAACATACTTCTCTGTGCCCCTTCCACTCCACTCTTTATCCCTTCAGATCAAAACCCATGAGTAATATTTTTCAGGGCCATTTACATCCACTTAGTGGGGTTAATAAGTTGATTTTCCAATGGACATACATCCGTTTGGAGATACAGACACACAGCCAAGTTCAGGTGGCTTCTGTGCCAGTGCAAACTAATTTCCATAAAGGTTGAAGAGAAAAGACAGATTCCTACTTCCCTTTTTCTTTCAGAATACATGGTACAGATTTGAATCTGGGTGTGGACCTGAATTCTATGAATCCTTTCTTCTTGCTTATACTTTAAGCCTAGAGGAATTTGGAAAGCAGAGCTGTCTGAACTGTGATATTCACATCCTTCTAAGGAAACAGAGCCAACATATCATGAAGACATTTTACCCGTTTTAATATTCAAATTATTACTGTGAAAGAGCGTGTGACACAAGGTGTAGGGGTATACAACGATGCAGAACGGCATGATACGGAAGAGTCATAAGAATAAACTATGGGATGATCCAGAGACAGCCAGTTACTCTCCACTGCATGAAAGCTGAATGGGTGTTGGATGCTCTATCCCAAGAGCCTGGCCAACCGTGGGCAAATCATTGCATCTCTTCGTGTCCATCTATAGCCTGGGATAATTCTATGTTTCTGCCTCACAAAGGGTAAAGATAAAGTAACATTCAGGAGCTGTTTCAGTATTACACAAACAGAGCTATAGAAACTCCATGGATCTGGAAACATTATAGTCATGGAAAAAAAAGAAAAATAAAAAGAGAAAATACAGCCTCAATGACTTCTATAGGGAATACGCTATTTGGATTTTTTCCTGTAATAGTAATTTCCAATTGGAAATATTTTTGCTGAAGCACAAAGGCCCTGAATGTCAGCAGCTTCCACTTGTCATTTACACCTGTTGCAAATTTAAACTGCTGCAGCCTTACTTTGCTTTCATCTCCATGTATTTTCCACAGGTACACACAGCTCAGCGACCGGTGTGCTTTGAAGCATCAGAAATAGTGCTCTGCAGGTAGTAGGAGCTTTGCTTTGGTGTGTTGTAGAACAGTATCTGCACAGAGTTTAATGAACTGCCTATATTGTAAAGGTACCAAGAGTTCATATTCAGACCTCTGGGCAGTTCAGATATCAACTCCAACAGTACACACTCTAACACACAAGAATATTGGTAATTCAAGGCAAAACCAAACTGCATTCCTCTGTTCTTGCCTGGAAACTTCTTGCTTTTTCTTTCAGAAAGATTCTTTTCAAGCTTTTATGGAAAGAGTACCATTTCATTCTGTCAAAAGTTGAAGAATGAACTTGTAGAAGTGTCCCTTATGGGCCAGTGGTATTGTTGCTATTATGTGATGTTCTGGATACTTTGTGAACTAACTGGGACCTGATCTTATAAAGGTATGGACTCAGAAGGTAATGGACACTTCAGGATTCATTCTTGTATGTCCTAGAGTGTTGGATATTAAGAGAATGTCTTCTCTAGAAAGAGTGGAGAGACCTTAGAACAGATTATTGATAGAGCTGGTGGTTTCACATTCCTGGAGGTGTCCAAGGTGTGGATGTGGCACTGAGGGACATGGTCAGTGGGTGTGGTGGTGATACGCTGCTGGTTGGACTTAGTGATCTTAAGTGGTCTTCTCCAACCTTAAGGATTCCATGATTCTATGATTCTATGACCAGGGCCCTGCCTGATGCACAGCACTGTCATCTGGAATGGAACCCTGTGCTGCTCAGGTGCAAATGGAGACACAGTAAGTGTGTGTGTTTAACCTCAGCAGATTTCCCAGCCAGTAAACCTCGACAGAGAAACCTTCACATTCTGCTCTCTTTAAAACACATGCTTAAACAGACTTGTTGGACACACTAGGACAAAGTTACAGCTAGGAGGCTCCTAAGCCTCAATCAGTAGCATGGCAACAGCCGTGTCTTTTCCATCCTGAAAGGTGCAGTTTTTCCATCCTGAAAAGCTCTGGAGAAAAGGTACAAACACACACACAGACTTCATACACCTCAAATAAAAGCACATCATCTGAGTTTGCTCAGGTTTAGCGAAGGTCAGAGATTTTCGCACTTAGGTGAGCTGTCATCTGGCTCGGGGCAATTCTCTTTTCTCTCGCATCCTTTGCTGGAACAGCAGGAGTGCTTTACTGGTGTGAAAGACTAAACTGTCCTCAGGCTATAAAGGGCTTGAGTCACAAACTGCTTCCCCCACTTTCTTATTAATTCAGAGCCTGCCAAGACTGTTCTAATGTGCCCTCACCTGTGGGTTCTGAAAACCTGTTGAGGGCCGAGGCTTAGGCTCAGAGATGTGATAAACAGATGGGATTTACTCAAATCAAAGCAGCTCAGGTCTGCTGGAATCTGTACTCCTACTTTTAAAAACAGGGTTTCAATTCCATGAATTTAAACTTAATGAAGTAATTATCTAAGAACAACTGCATCATTAAGGCAAAGCAGCAAGATCTAAGTGCATGCTCAACAAAGATTGCAAAACAGTCATACCATTAAAAAATGCAGCAACATTGATGTGCATGGGCAGCCTCTATAGGCCAGAAATGAACTACCTACTGTCATTACTGTCCCTATCAGCATACTGACCAAGAATGAGCCCCACATGTCCTCCACTCCAGAGCAGTGCTGTGCTTTCTGGCTTCCTAAACACATATTTAGAACCAAAAATATTATTACTGCTTTCAAGCCTCTACTGCTTCATTAACTGTTTTCTGCCTTAGCCCTTTCATTATTTTCTTTTCTTTCTTCTTTTTTCTTTTCTTTTTTTTTTTGTTGTTGCTGTTGCTGCATTCTCTTTCATTTTTCATTTTGTAAACCTCCCATGCAACAACTATTTTGGCTGTTAATGAAGGGAATTTTTCTGCATCCAGCAAACAGTAAACCATGTCGCTTGGTTACAGCAAAAGCTGAAATTCCACAGATTTCCACAATGTCATATATTGTGTTGGGAGGGAAAGTGTGCTGGGCATTCTCTGACTTTTGTGTGCCGTGTTAGCATTTGTAAACACGTATAAAAGAGAGAGAGAAAAAAAAAAAAAAGAGGAAGGAAAGAGGAAGGAAAGAGGAAGAGAAGAGAAGAGAAGAGAAGAGAAGAGAAGAGAAGAGAAGAGAAGAGAAGAGAAGAGAAGAGAAGAGAAGAGAAGAGAAGAGAAGAGAAGAGAAGAGAAGAGAAGAGAAAGGGAAAAAAGGAGAGGAGAGAAGAGGAGAGGAGATAAAAATAGCAAAGCAGAAGAAAGGAAAGAAAAAGGAAAAGGAAAGGAAAAGGAAAGGAAAAGGAAAGGAAAAGGAAAGGAAAAGGAAAGGAAAAGGAAAGGAAAAGGAAAGGAAAAGGAAAGGAAAAGGAAAAGGAAAGGAAAAGACACTTGTGTGATTAATGCAGTATATGACCTTTTCTTTTAAAAAGTTTGTGCTGTCCCTCTTGTTTAGTGCCAGTGCTGCTCACCCTTTCCCCTGAAGACGCTTGAGATGTTACGCATCTAGGGTGCTAATTTGACTTACAGCTAAACCCGAGGGCTGCAGCAGTAGGTGGTGATGTAATAGGTACCAACGCACATGGATATATAAATATCGTGGCTAGGGCTAAAGCGCTATGGCTGAGCAGCTATAGAAGATCAGCACTTCAGACAAGACTCCTGGAGTTGAGATCAAGTTCAGAAGCTCTTGCTCCCGGGATTTCCTCTTCATGCAGCCTGCCCAGGGAAACTGCAGATCCTCAGAGGACTGAACGCGGGGCTCTCCTTCCAGCCTCGCTTTTTCTTTTTTTCTTTTTATTTTTTCCTTTCTCTTTCTCTTTTTTCTTCCTTTCTTTTTCTTTTCTTTTCTTTCTTTTTTTTTTTTTTTTTTTTTTTTTTTTTTTTTTTTTTTCCGTGTGTGAGTTTTGTTTTGATTTTTTCTCCCCTCCGCTTTGACCTCACTATAAAGCGGGAGCTGGGGGCCAAGCGCCTTTTCGGAGCGACCGGCCGCCGGCCCGTGGCTGCGCGCCGCTAGCCGGGATGACTCTCCCCGCGGCGCTGCTGCCGGCGCTGCTCCTGGGGCTGCTGTGGCCGGGGGCGGTGCGCGGCCGGCCGCCCCCGGGCCGCCTCCCCGCCGGGCCCCGCCAGCGGCGGTGGGACGCGGCTCTCTTCGCCCGTTCCGTAGCGCGTCTCCCGGCCGAGCGCCGCGACGCCGCCCGCGACGGCGACTACCTCCTAGGCATCAAGCGGCTGCGGCGTCTCTACTGCAACGTGGGCATCGGCTTCCACATCCAGGTCCTGCCCGACGGCCGCATCGACGGGATCCACAGCGAGAACCGATACAGTAAGCCGGCGCCGACTCCCGCAGCCGGACAGGTGAGCCGCTCCGCACCCGCGGAACCGCTTCTCTGACGGTTCTGCGGACGCGGAGCGGCTCGCCTCACCCGGAGAGCGGTGTGAGTTAAAAGGAGGGTGGGTTTAGGGCAGACCTCTCGCCGCCTAGAAAAGTCCGCTCGCGCCGGCTGCCCCGAGGGCGTCATGCGCCCGGGGGAACGGGACGGCGGCAGAGCTCAGAGAGCGCTCCATGCGGCCGCCCCGCGGGTCGCGCTGCCCGGCGCCGCGCTGTCCCCTCGCAACCAGCAGGCATCAGGTGTAGGGGCTACCTCAACATCTAAAGGGTCCTCAGGCCCTGGGCCGCCCACCTTGAGTAGGGGCTGGGAAGAACTCAACCAGGGCCCAGCTCTCCCTCAGACTTGAAAAGCATCTGCTAGAGACTTAACCCCATGGCCCCGTGACTCTGATATCCAACTGAAACAATAAGATCCAAGGGGGGGATATAAGCTGCATGATGACAAATGTTTCATACGCCCCAAACACAATCTGGCTTATTTTAACCTTGGCTACAAAGGAGGATGCCTGGGGGCAATGTAAAAATAGATACTTAGCTAAAAGAAGAGTGGTCCCAGCATGGTGCATGGAGCAGCACGTGAGGCACGAGGCTGGGGTTCTGTGGCCACCCAGCAGCACTGGGGCATAAGGATCCATGCTACACTGGGGATAAGAACCTCTGTATGAGTGCAGAACTCACATCACACACTTCCTCAGGCCACAATCCTTTGTACCCCTGATTCCTGTGTCTCTTCTGTAGGTCTGCTGGAAATCTCCCCTGTGGAAAGAGGAGTGGTGAGCATATTTGGTGTTAGAAGCGGACTCTTCGTGGCCATGAATAGCAAAGGCAAACTCTATGGATCTGTAAGTAGGCACTAGTTGCGTGCTTGGGGAGGGACCATGGTGGCCTGGAATGAGAGGTGTATATGGTGCTGGAAGCCAGGGCCCCACAGATGATCCTTTATGGTGTGATTAATCAGTGCCTGTCACATACCTGTCGATTGCTCCTTGTTAATACTCTTGATTGGAGAGCTCCCATGAGAGTTCAGCACCTTTAGGGTCCAGGCTCATAATTATAAAAAGGCAGATCAGTTAAGATACAATGCAAATCTTCTATTACATCTAGTCCATGGAAAAAATACTGGCATGTTTTAAAGCACACTGTGTGGACAGTAACAGTGCATGTCTTAATCCACGTTGAGCTGTCCTTCTACTTTAGAATTCAACTGTGTATAAGTTACAGTGATTAGCATCATTTCAACCCCATGTTCTTGGATTTCCTTCCCTACCCCTGGCCTTTGTATTTCATGTCCCTCAGGGATGTTTTGAAGAAACATGGGCTGAGAAAGGGCCAAATTATGTCAAAGTTGACTAGGGCATTTTCACATGCACGAAAACTTGAATTATCCAGAGCTATTTTCTGTGGCATCAATCCTGTCACAGAGGATTTTGACTACATGAAAGCCAGGAATGACTAGTCATCAAAGTGCAAAAGCTCCCTTTGTGCCAAGCCTAAATGAAACAATATGCTGCTTTGGTGTCCTGGATACAATTATCAATGCAGTGTTCATCCTGGCAAGCTGAGACCTATCTTACAAAACCATCAGATTTGCCCACTAACAAGAGATGACCTCATTTGTTACTCTCCATATGACACACCTGCAACACCTGTCCCTCTTTGTACTTGCATGTGAAACCCCTTTACAAGAAGCATGCTTTCTGTCAGCCCTGTCTTCCTAATCCATTAACACAGGTAAATCTAAACCCTTCAATTTTAAAACTCAAGATGCAGAAAATACTGTCCACTCTGAGCATTTTTAAAATACCTCTTTCCCTTCAAACAACATGAGAAAGTGCTAACATTCAGATTTTTTTCTGAAGCTTCCCAGAGAATTCACTACTGGTAGGAACAACCACTGCGTTGGGAACTAAGTAAACTTACCAATATGTAACTCAGAAATATCAGTGAGCCCTTGCACTCTGACATGGGGACATGAGCACTGGTTGCAACTCATAACTCTCATTGCCCTAGTGTCTGACAGTTTCTTTTCCCCTTCTTTTTTTAAAGAAAAGAGGTAAAAGCTCATCAGCCGAGCTAGATGATGAGCCGGGCAGCAGAACTGCATCTGGGTCACTCCTGATGGCAGTGCCCTCTGTTAAAATGGGCCTCTTTCTCTCAGAAGCACAGACAGAACTACAGGATATCCTTCCGTGCTCCACGCGTCTGTGCCTGGCTAGGAAGCAGCACCCTTAATAATTGTCCGAGTGTCATTTGAAGCTTCCTTTGGACAACCACTTCAAAAGATTACTTACGGGGGGGATGTCAGCTGCACCTTTTCCTGCAGCACACCTACTACACCTGGTAGCAAGAATATTTCTGCACCTGATGTTTAAAATTCCTTCCCTCTCATTCCTTCCTTTTCATTTCAGACCCATTTCAATGATGAGTGCAAATTCAAAGAGATCCTCCTGCCAAACAACTACAATGCTTACGAATCCAGGATTTATCCCGGGATGTACATAGCCCTGAGCAAAAATGGAAGAACAAAGAAAGGCAATAAAGTATCTCCCACAATGACGGTGACACATTTTCTTCCTAGAATCTGAGACATCTCCCTTCCGACCTACCTCAGCACAGGGAAAGACTCAGAACACGTTTGGGAAAAAAGAAACGTGGTGCACTTTTACTGGAGAGTTTTATGCAAGAGTAGGTGTAAGATATTTAAATTAATTATTTAAATCTGTATATATTGCCAGTAAGTTTATTTATAGTTCTGATTTTTTTTTTTCCTGAGAACAAAACAAACCTCCAAGCCTAGGTATTTCATTTCATGGTGCAACAGTAGGAGACTTCTGCTTTGTGGTTTATTTAATTCGTTTCCTAAGTTATCACAGGTGTGCTGCTACTATGTGTTCTATAACCGGTGACACTCAATTCCTACTACATTACAACATTTTGCACTGTTGGTGTGTTGTATAGCGTCTATTGTTGTACATGTATTTGTTTGCTAGGTTGGCTTTGTTCCCCTCTGTGTTTTTAAAACCCCTATGAGTCCCAGAGAAGCTCTTGGCCTTTGAGAAGGAGCAGCACAGAGGTGCCTGGGTGGGATGCCGGCGCGGAGCCACACACAATGCCTGACCTCCTTTGTGCAGCGTTGCTATTTAATTGGAATGGTATCGGTTTACTTCGGTGCAGAAAGTGCGGTGCTGAAGAGCTGCCCCACAAATCTGTTTTTAGATCTGCCAGCGCTGAACTTTGAACTTTCCTGCAGTCAGTCTTAGAGCTGCCAAGCAGCGAAGAGGTTTAAGCACCTATATAAACTCAGTGGGCTTTTTATTTTCTTTTCTATTTAGATAAACAGGAGCATCATATTTTTGCGGCCCTTAATGGACACTGCATTTGATACGACCACTTCATATTAGGCGAACAAATTATCTGCTCCTCCCCCAGTGAGCCCACTGGGGCACCTACCGTGATGAACAGGTTATACTTCATTCAAATCAACTTCCCTCTCATATTTGGAGACTACACACATTTGTCAAAATTTGTGGAAAAAGAAAAAAAAAGAAAAAAAAGAAAACCAACAAGCCAAACATTGTAATACTCATACGCTATAAAAAGGCAAAGTCATTTGCTGGTTCACTGAAACGCAAGCTCCATAGAGAGAGTTTAGATTGATTACAAGTAACCGAGGTTGTTTTGTACTATTTATTATTTTTGGTGCAGTATTTGGGAGGAGAAGTATGCTGCTTTTTTTTCCTGTCTCATTCCCTACAAAAGTTGATTAATTTCTACCTCACTAACTCTCAAAGCCAACCTCCTAACAAAATCTGCATGGAAGGTACACGCTTTTCTGCTTCGTCTTACAATGTTGGAGGAGGGCTTCGGGGAACAATTGCTGTCATCCCAAATCTCTATTTTTTTCCATATGTAGCCAAAAGTATTCAAGATAGAGTCAGTTGCATCCTATTTGAGCCTTGTCACGTTTGAGCTATCTTTACCCAGTGATTTACTTTTAGTAAGGATAATCATGGTGAAAATATTTGCAGACAGCTGTCAGGCTGCAGTACCATATCGTCATCAAGTAACTCTATATTTTTCTTTATACATTTTGCAAGAGTAACTCATGTCCCTAATGCGATGAAGGAAGAATCAGGTATGATTATGGTGGAATCATTACAAGGATCCATTTTTCCTTTGTTATTTCTTTCTCCTCTTTAAGCAATATGCCATCTTCACGGCATCGATACATTGTTGTAACCAGGACTAACCACAATGTTTAATGAATTAGAGGATGTTTACAGATCATCTTCCAACCTAAACTAGCCATTTCTGACTACGTGCAAGTCTCAAGGCCGTGGGTAATTTGAGTTCAGCTAATTTTTTCCTTTTACATTCCTACAAGAAAGTATTTGTTCTATTGGAATCATATAGACTTACCTCTATTCTCTGCTTACACATGACCTTGAAGACAAAATCTACTCACCAAAGTTCAGTGAGACCAGAGCAGACCAGGACCACACCTTAAGCCAGCTGCTGCCAAAGCAAAAATACAGTTTAAAAACAGGAAGCCAAATCAGGGAGATTTGGAAACGTCACGCCTAAGGATTTTTTTTTTTTTTTCTGTAATTTGGGGGATTTCTCTACTTTCTATGCGTTCTGTATGTGAACAATCATTGTGTAATTACCACTGCTACCTCTGCTAATGGATGGTTTTGTTCTAGGATTCAGACAGCAAAATCGCAAAGAGTTTCCCTGGGAATGGTTCTTTGTCACTTTTCACACCATCAAAATCCACAACTGAGAGCCTCACATAAGATATGTTCAGAGGTAGTTGTTGTAACTTTGAAATATTGTGCTAAAACCTAGATGACAATGTTACATGGTATGAGTTTTCACCGTTTACCAGAATCTGTCTGTAGTTTTATACAGGTGCTGTTCAAGACTGTGGTGTATGTGCTGTGCACATTTAAATGCACAATAAATGATAAATGTTTACAGTGTATGGCACCCTGGAATTGATTTTAACTCTTTAGAAAGGAATGCGTCCTGCAGAGAAAAATTTAGACGAGGAAGCATTTGCACCTCTGCCAGATACTTCACGAATGACAATCTGGATTTCTTACTCAGCTAAAGTTCACCCTGGAGAGGTTGGAAATTGTCCAGGAAAGCCCAGCTTGGTAAGCTCTGTAATAGATACACATGCTGGCATCTGCCACAGATTAGTATTCACACTTGTATTAATGACAACAGCTTTTCATGCAGCGTCTCATATTAGCGATCAGAGGCACAAACCAGTTTTGGAGTTTATGTTGCTGGATGTTAGCCTTGCGCACGAAACCAGATTGCCTTTTCCTTGGTTTTAGAGAGTGCTGCTGTCTCTCTTGCTGCAAAGAAAGATTGCACACTGATGCAAGAAGTTCTAGGATTGATTACCTGTTTGATTTAAGATAGCCCCTTCTACTGTTACCAATTATAAGCACACCGGTGTATAGAAGTACAGAGTGCTTTGTAGTATGCCTTATGGCAAGATTTCTCAACTTTTATTTATACACACTCATGCATATGGACCTGTACATCCACAAGCACACAGCCAAATCCTGTGGTTTGACTCAAGGCCTTCTGTTTTGTGGGACTAAGGAAGCATATGTTATGGCAATGGCAATAATCACGTCTGAACTCACACTCCTTGGTGGCAAAGGGAGTTTTCATTCTGCTAAGGGCTACATGACCCCAAGATACAGATTTTTTCACTTCATTTTCTGGCCCTACTTTGAGCAAGAGCAATTTCTTTCTAAAGTCATACAGGCTTCATGAATGTAGCACAGGTGGCTTTTTTAAAACCAGACAAGTATAGCTGCTCCTATAAGTAGAAGCAGAATAAATAGGTAAGGAGATCATTTTTTTCCACTATTAACTGTTTGGTTTTTTGTTTTTGTTTTTTTTTTCTTTTTGTAAACAGATGCAAGTTTATCACTGCCACTGGTCTTCCCAAATTTTAACCAAAAGTTACACTTTTGGATGTAACATTGTTTCAGCGTTGGAGAGACATCCAATTATGAATTCAAAATTGTTTTAGAGAGAAATCCTAAGGCTTAGCTGCCAGAAAGGTGAAATTTCAGAGTATGGCTTTGCTGGAGTACCAGCACCTCGTGTATAGTCCTACCGCAAAAGATGTTATGGAGAGAGCTGGAGAAATGTTCTCTCTCCTCTAGCATTCACTTGTGCTAAGCCAGCTTTCCTCCCACTACCTTTGCAGGTAATAAAAGTAATGCACCAAAGCTGGTAATCAGCTTCAATGCCTCAAAAAGGGCCCTGATACATCACGTGTTGCAACATTTCTGAAATCCCTGAGAGCTCTGCAGTGCTCCAGGCACTCCTGGTGCCTCTGGCATCCTCCAACAAACATTTTCCCGCACAGAACAACTGAAAATCTTCCCCGATGCAGGATTAGCCCTGTCTGTGATGGCCCTGCCTGTCCTGTCAGGCAAAGAGGAGTTGTGCCAGCCTGGCCCCTGGCAGCAGTCCCAGGGCAGTGCAGTGCCCTGCGTGCTTGCAGAAAGGCTGCAGCAGGCTCCCTGCCCTGTCACTTGTTTATGGGCTGGCACCTTCCACATGGCCCTGACTCCTCTGTGGCATCTTCTGAGCTGCCTGTATCTAATCTGTGCTAATAAAAATCAGCATGACAAAACACTGCCTTGTGTATAAATAGCCACAACATTCAGAGCAGTCACCAAGTTCATGGTTCCAGTTTCGGTTGTTCACACTTAAGCACTTGGTTTCCACTGCGGTGTATTAACTGGCCATGCAAGTGACCAATTAAAGAGAATCTGTTAAGGTCTGAAGAGGCTTTTAATAAAAACTAGTGAGCACTTCAGCAAGGGAGTTAAAAGGCATTCCCTGAAGCACTGCAGCTCCCTTTGTATGACAAATTATTGTTGTTTTCTACCAAGTGATCTAAATAGGGATGGGGTTATGAGGGACTGCAATACCTCACTGCATATAAAAGGGAAGCACAGCACAATTCCAGTTTCCTGCACACCAGCCACAATTTACAGACCCCAAGCAAGAAATAGTACCCTCCCCTGTTATTAAATTTGTTTGCTTAAAAACAAAACAAAACAAAAAAAAACCAGCAGATAAATATCATGCCAAGAAGCAACTACAGAAAGTGACTTAAGGCTCAATAATCACTTGATGTAAAACAATGACAACTTCTAATATCATAAATCGCACTGTATGTTAAAATGATTGTTTGCAATGTCTATCGAGCAGATTGATTTTTTTCCCTTTTAATGTTTTTAAGAAAAGAACATTTTAGTGTCACACTGAAGATGTTAGTGTCACCTCTGCCACCAGCTTACCTGCAATGCCAGCAATGAAGAGCAAGAAATGGTCTGGGCCTTCCTTCTGCGATGCCCAACAGGACACCACAAAGCAGTTCAAGAATGGTAAGCACCCAGAACTGAATCCAGCTGCATCTGTGTGGTGCCCTGGGAAATGTCTAGCACTAGCAAACACCTTGCTATGAATGTTTCAATCCAGGCAGCTCATATTACTGCACCTTTTTGACACCAATACTAATGCTTCTACTCCCAGTCCCCAAGATACCATTAAATGATGTTCAAAATATATCTCTTAGTATTGTCAGAAAATAATTGATACTCGTGAAAAACAAAAGTACTGAACTTGTGACAGTTATGGAAAGCTTGCGAGAAAACAAGCAGGTATTTCCTCAAGGGCATGTAATCAGTAAGCCATTCACCTTCTAGTTGAAGAAAATAAAACTAGAAATGGGCACTTGATCAGCAACTGGTTTGTGCTGGGCAGGTCTCCTAGCTAAAAGCATGCTGCACAACCACATTTCAGTTGAATGTACAAGTTTTTTTCAGTTTTTCTTAAACTGAGTGCTGGTTTGACTTGGGAACCTCCTAGTGTCATTGCATGTGTGCATATACAATTACATGTTATTGCTAATCATACAATTTTACTGTGGGTATATAGAGGAACACTCACTCTTTCTGACTCCCCAGGATGTGTTGACCTTTGCTGTCCTTCATTCACACTACTTCATATAAATTAAAGAAAGTGATTTAGTGATGTTTGTACCAATTTACATATTCCAGATTCAAAATGGTTGCTAATCAGGTTACCTCTGAAGTACAAATCAGATCTTTATCAGCTTAAAGGTATTTGGTAAGTGTCAAAGCCACTTGGTAAAACTCCATGGTTTCTGGTGAGGTTTCTATTTACATCCTTTCTCATTATCTCCACAGCTACATCTGTTTGCCTCCAGTGCCTTCAAGAAGTGTTTGTAATGTTAGCTGGGGCCAGTACAGCTGTTTAATGTCACTGGGAATTAGGGTGCTTGTGGGAAGGGAGTAACACCTGTGGGACCAGCACCCCTTAGGCACCAGCCACCCCAACCTCCTGGGAACCTCATTAAAGCAACTCTGCAAGCTTGGATACTCAGACATGCGTTAAGTCTTGGACCTTTTGTCAGACAAACCTCTTCTAGAATATGATCCACATGCCCAGAGCCCTTTCCCAGAGTAGTCACCACCTCACACCCCAGCAGTACAGCAGGGCAAGCGGCCTCCACAGGAGCCTGCCCCTGCTGGCCACATTGCCCATGCCCACATCCATGCTGATTCCCAGCCCCACTGCATCTGCTGTCCATCTCCCAGCCTGGTAAGACCAATCAGGTCTCTCCAGCTGGGCACCCTCCAGTGTGATGGCCACACTTTGGCTTGCACACCTACTCTTCCCTCCCTCTCCATGCCTTTACATTACCTGTGGGGTGCAGCGCTCCATCACTCTCCTCCCATGCCAGATCCTGCTCCAATTCCTGCCACCGAGCGCCCGGTGCTGCTGCAGGCAGGAGCTGGCGCATGATGAGTTACACATTAACTGATGCAACTTGGGTTTGGCATCTTGCCTGCGCTCTGTCTCCTGGCTGGCACTTCTTTCAGATAATGGCTCTGATGCCAGAGTGCTGCATACTGTTACACCAGGGCGATGACCTGGGGCTGCCCACAGAGTTAGCTCCAGGAATGGCACTGCCCGTGCGGGTACGCAGGTGCGGCCCACATCAAGTCTCAAGGAAGCACAGCCATAACATCAACTGCAGTTCATTGCAGCTTTGCCACAGCCCCGAGGAAAATGACTTACGTTGCTCTTTTCCTTATTTCCGGCATTCCTGTAGCAGGGCAGGTGACTGTCACTGCCTGTCCCCAGTGACACTGTCTGTGCCCAACATCCTCCTCCCATCCTGCAAAGGGCTCTGACACCTTTCCCTCTGGTTTTGCCATTTCACCTCATACTCTTGCTTAATTTTCTGCTCCCCATTGATTTCTTTGTTGCATTACCTCTGGTTGTCCTCCAGTTCTCTGTCATCTTCTCTGCTTTTTGTCTTTGCTGAATTTTTTGTTACATTAATGCCAATGTGCATGGACTAGCTGATATGTCCCAGCCAGGGCACGTGTATTTTCTTACTGCCCCAACCGCTACCTGCCTATGGTTTTCATCTTCTGCATGAAGTCCAAGTCCCTTTCTAGGTGATCACAGACTTTCTTACTCACCCACACTTTATTTCTTCCTGTCCATCTCACCTCCCTCACTCCTGACCACCTTCTTTCTGAATGCCCCAGTGTGTCAGAGGGAGCTGAACCAGCTTCCACAGCCACAGAGGTGAAAAGTTCAGCACACACTTTCCTCTGAAGAGCATGGTGTTCCCGCCGCAGTCTGTAATGAGAGCAGAATTGGGCCATCAAGGGTTTGTTTATCACCCAGAAGTATAAAAAAACAGGTCCTTTGTGCTTGCTGATACGTTATCAGATGTGATTCACCGGGTCATATCTGTTTTGGCAATCACAGCATGGGCAGTTCAGCACAGAGTTTTTTAACAAGCTTGGGATGATCAAGGAAGAACACTTATGAATTTATGGGACCATCTAAGTTACAGCTATGACAATCTCACGCCACGCAAAGAAGCTATGCTTCTAGAGAATAATCAAAGTATCTTCTAGAAAGAAAAATATCTACATAGATGTTCATCTCCACTTCTTGTGTTCAACAGCAGTTTTATTTTAAAGAGCTTGAATACAGAAATACTGTTGAAGCCAGATTTGTAGTCTGAAACATAAGAAATTACACAGAAAGAAATTCAAAATCTTTGATCTCAAAGATCAGGAGATTTGCATTTCTTCAAATGTCTATTCTAAAAATATTAGTCACATAAGAGATAGGTGCTTACTTTAATTCTTGTTTATTCTTTTCATTTTAAAATATACATTAAAATTTCAGTTATAGAACAGGTATAGCCATGTAATACCGTTTTATTCCACAGTTCATCAGATAGCTCCTGGAGGGGATATAAGTAACAAAGAATGTGAATTCATGGAGTCATGCATTTTGTAAGATTGCCCCTTAGGTCACACCAAGCTAAAGCTTCTTCAGTAAATTTTGTGATTTTGGAATACATCCTAGTCCAAAATGTGGACAAAAAGAGTAAACGCAGACATAACACTTCACGTGTTGAAAATCATTCAGAATACCTTCAGAGGTTAAAAATGAAGGTATTCAATTTCTGTCTAGGGCTTTTTCAATTTATACAACCAAATAAAAATCACTATGGCTATGTTCACACTGGAAATCTGACTGTAAGTATCATGCTTGTAAACACTGTCCTTCTAAGCATACTTATATATGCTTAGTAAATTATCATTATGACTTCTCATGACCCTGTAAGCCTCAACCTACTCAGTCACATGCAGTCAGCAAAACTGAGACAAAAAAAAAAAAAAAAAAAATCTGTTGAATTATTTTGTGAATAAAGGCTGAAAAATCAACAAAAGGCTCTGTGGATCTTGACCAGGCTCTCCTGGTTCTTTCTGCTTTCAAGTCAGGTGAGTATGAACGAGCGTCCTTGCAGAACGGGTAAGCTACGCTATTAGTTTAAAGCTCATTACTTAAACAACTGCTCTTGTTCTTCTCTGCAGAACGACCACAGAAAAGAAATAAGGCTATCTATGCAGTCACTGAATGAACCACACTAAATTTTAGATGAATACTCACAAAAATACTCTGCTGTAATCACCCTGTGACTCTTACAGAAAAGCAACTAAAGCACAAGCAAGGAACACACGTGCATTTAACGAGAAAAATGTTTGTGTGGGTTGCCCTAGCCATCCACCTCCAGAGTCCCATAGCATCAGGTCAGAAGTGTTCGTTTTCCCTCCTTACGGCAACATAAACCTCAGGTTCCTTTCCTGGAGTTTTGGAAGAAGACATATTATAAATGTGTGTTTATATATAAATGTATAAATATGCATTTGTTCGTATTTTACACTCTCCAAAATTAACTAAGAAAAAAAAACAGGAGCAAATACACATCTGCTTGACAATTTATTCTGGTTCTATGCATACGATTATCAAACACACAGTCCTTTGGTTCTGCTGAAAGCCTCACCAGCTCTACAAATGTCTACTGAACTCCCAGGGACATGGCCAGGCAATGATCATACAAGCTGCTGTACTAACAGGACTGTCTTTGCATGTGACCATGCACAAAAACATGCCTTGATGTTGGCAGAGTGATAAAGGATAGATTCCTGATTAAAGGAAAATGGCATGAACTGACAATCATAAATACACATCCAGACCTTGAGTGCTGTGTTCTGTTTTGGGTCCCTCAACACCAGAAGGACATCAAGGCCCCATGGCATGTCCAGAGAAGGGCAATGAAGATGCAAAGGTTCTGGAGCACAAGTCTGATGGGGAGCAGCTGAGGTACCTGGGATTGAACAGGAGAAAAAAAAATGAGACTCAGGGGAGTCCTTATAACTATCTACACTGTTCTGAAAGGAGGTTCTAGCAAAGTGGGGATCAGCCTCTTTTTCCAGGTAATTGTGATAGGATGAAAGGAAATGGCCTCAAGTTGGTTCAGGCTGGTTATGAGGAAGAATTTCCTCTCAGAAAAAGTGGTGACGCACTGGAACGGGCTGCCCATGGGGATGGTGGAGTTACTGGCTAGGAGATTCAAGAAGAGGGTAGCTATTAAACAGACTGACATGGCACAGAGAGGTTGAAGGCATGGGCTAGCAGTCAGACTGGATGATCTTAGCAGCCTTTCCAATCTTTTTTAATAAGTAGAAGTCCACAACAGTTTCGGCAGTAAAGTGATGTGCAACAAAGAATAGCTTGTGGTACAAGTTTTCCTTTTTTCACTGCTAAGGAGATTACAAGGTTATAATTTGTAAAATAAGCATATTCCTGATAATTAAATTAAGGATATGAGCTGCATAAGCAAATAACAATCACAAGAGAAAAGGAGAGGGATGCTGAGTTTCACACGTAATTTGTTTCTGGCTACTTAGCAAGGCTATGGCAGACATTCACTAAGTAGAGAACAAACATTCACTATTTAGCTCACCTATCCAGCTAACACCCTTACATTTCTATTAGCAAAAGTGGCTCCTCTGGGACAGTTGGTTGTTTGTTGTGAAAAATTTTTCACTGAGATGGCTTTAAAAGAGCATTTGCTACTAGTTAAAAATGTACTCATCTTAACCAAGTACTATAGAACTATACAATATTATACTTTACACTTGTATAACTTACATCTCATGCCGCAGCTCTGATTCAGGTCTACCAAAATGACTAGAAAAGTTTCACAGAATATCTTGAGTTGGAAAGGACTCATGAGGATCACCAAGTCCAGCTCCCAAACCCAACCCAAATCCTTCTCCCTACCTTCAACTGCAGCTTAATCCTTCGTTGCACAGCCTTCACCCTTCATCCCATTCCTGCCGGTGCATCCTGCACAGGGAGGTGACATCCACAAACATCCAAGCTTGCAGTGAAGAAAACACAGAGACAACCTCATCTAAATGAGCCAAGCCAGGGATTTTGAGGTAGCTATCATGGCTTGGTCAGTCCTAACAAGGCCCAGCTGTGCTAGCAAATTAACAATCCCCAAGCACTGTGAGGCTGAGGCTCCTCAGGCTCAGCTGTGCCCAAAACTTCAACGGCATGAAGTCAACCCTTGTGACAAAACAAGCTGTACACCCCAAAGGAAGAGGAGAACTTCCTTCTAGGGTTAGCCTGTGCCCCACTCATGTTTTAGCCTAAAATCTGCAACTTCGGCTAACTTGACAAGAAGCCTAGTATTATGCAGGCATTAATGCTATGTTGCTAAATGTCAGCTCAGAAAAGGAGCAGCCAAAACAAAGCAGGAGGAATGCTGTGTCACAGTACGGGCTGTAATCTGGCAGTGCATGCTGAAAATAAAAGCGATTTCGCTACAGTTCAGCAGGAATGTGTTCTTGGGGAGAAGAGAGAAAACTGGTGTGCGTGGATGGGAACTGCCTGCTTGAAATGTGTTTTGCCTAGGATACAGTACTTTCTCGTTGTCCATTAGAACACTTCTCACATATTAGGGAGTAATACTGGAGATTCCTTTGTTTATGTTTTATCAAAAACAAAAGCAATTGGTGGGCACTTACATAATGAAAGCATTGCTCAGATGGCTTTTTTTTTTTATCAAACCGACCACTTCAGAGAGAAGAACTGATGAATTGTTACTATACATTTTGCCAGTTCTTCAAGCTGTCCAAATAATATTTTAATTTTTGTATGTGTCCATCTGTTGTTTCTTCTTTCCATTTCCATCCTGACATACTCTATGAATTGTAACATACTACTTGAATGAAGGCAAACACCGTGGTTCTGGATACATGCAATCCCTTACAGCTAGAAAGGAAGGAGAGGAAATCACAATTTTGGAAAGTCCTTGGCCTTGTTATGTCCTAAACAGAAAAATCTTGTGTTTAACATTGCAATCTCATAGACTAAAACATGCTTATTCATGAGGTAGGCAGCTGGCACTAGGAAGGTGTCCAATGAAGCGCTCACTTGGCAAGTCATGGCCAGCTCTCCAAATCTGACAGCATCTTGTGTGGTATTTTTGCCAAATCTGTGCAAAAGCAGTGATGGTGTCATTTATGGGTAAGAGCTCACTGGTTTTGAGCTGTGACATTAGGAAGGTTTCCATAAATCATAAACAGTTTTTTAAATAAGAATGGCTTTTTGAGTCTCATATGCACTGAAGCTGAATGTCTATGTAGAAGGTTATTAAGTACAATTAAACAGTGCGATCAGTGAGGCTCATACCCAGCTGGCTCCCATGGTTTGTGGGTGTCCCCTCTCTCACAGGGCATTTAGCACTGCAGCAAAGCCTTCCCTCACTGCTCAGAGGGTCTTGAGCTGTGCTCCCACTAGCAGATGCCACTCAAGCCCGGCTGTCTGCCCTTGGCAATATGGCAAAGTGCAGTGACAGGTGGTGTGTTCTTTGAAGGTGAATAAAGGAAAATGAATTAACAGTCACCAAAGCAAGTCACGAGCTAACAACGTACAATTTCAAGGTAGCTCAGAGAAAAGAAAAGATTGGCATTTGTAAGCAGTGTGCGTCCTGCTGCTCTTTTGTAAAGCCAGCTGTGAAACAGGGCTGCAATGCCTGTTTATAGCTAGGTGTGCAGGCTTCCAGATGTGTAAGTGTAAAGCCTGCAGACATCAAAAGGGCTAGCAGTCAAAAACATTACCTGAACACCACCTTTACATATTTCAAAGCAAAACCAGCTTAGTGTTCCCTGTAATCACTATCCTGTAACATCTCTTTAATGTATGGGGAACCAACCAGCACAGGATCTCTGTGTCAGTGAAATAAAGAGGATGCCCATCA